AGTTAGGAGTTAGGAGTTAGTAGTTAGGAGTTAGTAGTTAGTAGTAAGTAGTATGTAGTAAATAGTAAGTAGTAGTGGCAAAACGTGACCGCGGCTCTTGTTCTGATGTACTACAGATCTTGAAGGCTAGGCCGCTAGGCTAGGCCTGGGCGCCTTGCTTGGCCTTGCTTGTGCTTTTGTCTTTAGGGACCAGCCGAGTCCTTTGATGGGCATGCTCAAGGGCGACATCTGTTGAAATCCGGACCCAAATATAGAAGAACCAACGTGGAACAATGTGCACGTACCAATACCATGAGTCTTCGCAATCCATAAAATAAATAGGGCTTTGAGTCCACGTGCATGTCGCGATGGTTTTGCATCAAACCACGCGCCAGACACACCATCTAATATACACCCAGGACTCCCCAGGCCAGACGCAAGTGCCATCCGTCCAAACGACGAGCACCATGGCAGGTGCGTGGCACGCGCCATCAACGGCGCTAGTGGTGGCACTGTGGGCATTGCGAACGCCTACATTGCGGATGTCACCAATAGCAACTATGGCCGCCATCAGAGCAGGTCCCATGTGCTCCGAGTAAGAATGTTATCATGGGATAATTTGGGGGGGGGGGCAGTTTGGGGTGCTGAAACGCTTCCCGGTGGAATCACTGCGACTGGTGCGACTGGTTTGTTGGGTGATGTGCAGTGCGGTGCGGTGCGGTGGTGACGGGTGAATCATTTGCAGCCCTGGAGAGATTGAGATACAAGGCCAATTATGCCAAGGCTCTCATGGCCAGATTTGCTTCCCCAACACACACATACCAACATTATCATATATGATCCAAGATTAATCGGTATTCCCATTGTCAAGCAGTTCAGGATCCATTCCTCACTGACCATACTTGAGCTTCTTCGGACCAAATCATTCAGATTCAGAAGTCCCAGCCTTGCAGATTGTCAGATGCTCGATCCATCTCGATCCAAAGATCCGGCAGACGGACCCAGTCCGGGCCCATGTCGCCCAGTGGCCCAGGTATAGAGAAGCCCACCTACATCTCCTACCTCCAAGCATGTCCGGAAGGGAGGGTCGAGGACGCCGGTTCTGTCCCTCTGAAGAGGGGAGGTGAACACATGACAGTTTGAGAATCCACCATGTCTTCGGGGAGTCACCACGGATCCTTCATGGAAGAACTTTGTACAAATTCATCTTGCTGAAGCATGTTTGAAGAGCGATGCCAGGATCAAGTGGCCAGCGTCAACCTACTTAGGGGTAAATGCTTCTTTCATGGGTTTGGTATCGTTTTGTTGGCCATACCAAACAGGCCGCAGCAGTTCCACTGGGAGCTCACCAGGTCACTCGGTAGAGTCGGTAGAAGTTCATGTTGACGTCGTGTCACGTCGCATCCGCGGGTGCCCGTGGTCACGTTGTTGTCCCCGGTCGCAAACTAGATGGCGTGAGTCGGAGTGAAGTTCATGTCAAACTTGAACAGGAACATACAGGAACTATAGGACTCACAACAGCAACAAAAGCTGGCAGCAGGAGCAGCGGACCCCTCGGCGGGAGACCAATGCGAGCTGTTTTGGGGGATCTCGCAACCTCAAAACTCAAAAAGTTATATAACAACTTGTCAAGTCCTTTTTCCACATGTGCTTTGGGCGATCCCAGAACAGCCATCTAAATCCAAGCTTTCATGATTCATTCATGTTCATCCATTCTTCCTGATCCTCATCCTCATCCAACAAACCATCGTAAAATCCATCCATCCTCGCATCACCAGGTAACTCGGTGGGCATCATCATCGGTCCCGCCTTGGGTGGAGCCCTCAGTCGCTGGGGCTTCGCCCTGCCCTGCTACGTCTCCGCTGCCTTGAGTGGCCTCTTGGACCGATGGCGCCGGTTGGTCTCGGGCACCTCTTTTGAAAGGAGGAACCAGTGCCAGGGCACATATGAAGTGTAGGACTTGCACATGAACTTTTGACTCCATTGACTACCACAGGATTTCCAAACTTTGCGGCCAAAGAGTGGTTTGGAATACACCTCCAAGCGGGCCCAGGTCGGTGACCTGCTGAGGGTTCTATTCCTTGGTGCTTGGTTGGTTTTGGACACCCGTCCAGTGAGTGGACATGAGTGGACCATGGGCACCACCATCCTCCATAGGAACTGCTGGTTTGGGTGCTTGATTTCTGGTTCTTTCTCGGCAGTGAGAGCTGAGCAGTGTGAGTGGCAGTGCAGGAGCAGTGAGAGCAAAGAAGTGGCTTGAGAAATAAGAGCTGAGAGTTGTGTGAGCAGTCAGCAGTGATCAGTGTGAGTGGTGAGAGTGGTAGGAGCACAGCAGAGTGCAGCAAGTAGTGAGTGGTTTGCCACTCACACTACTCTCAGTCTCACTCCAATACTCTGCTCTTGCTGCTCTCTCACTGCACTCAATGCTCACCACTTCAAGCTGTCACTGCTCAGATCAGTTGAGAGTAAGAGTGGTCAAAGTAGTGAGTCAGAACAGTGTGAGCAGTGAGTGGTGCGTGTGAACAGTGAGAACAGCAAGAGCAAAGTGGTGGAAGCACATGTGACACATGATGACACATGCGTCGTTCTTCCCAAAATATCCCAAAATGGATGTGGTGGGAAGAGGAAGAGGACAAGCAATTAAACTATATGTAGGAGCAATGGATCATGGGATCATGACAGTCATGATTTCTGGTGATGATTTCTTGTAAAGCTCTCATTTTGAGCATTTCTTGTGCTATTCTTGACACATCGGTCAGTGAGCTCTTGTGTGGCACTCCCTCAATTGAGCTAGCTGCAGCTAGACTGCCCAGTGGATTGCTCTCCCAAATCCCATTTTCCCACCCATCGGCTCACCCAGTTTTCCATTGGCGACTGGATGTGATGTGACTTGTTCTTTTTCCGTGCCACCCGCCCATGCAGGGCTGAACTTCCTTGTGGCCCTCTTCTTCCTGGTGGAGCCCCGATCTTCCCAGCGAGAGGCCCCCCGGATTTTCTCATGGTTGGACTCGGGGGTCTTCCTCGAGGAATTTGGGATCTCCATGGTCCAATGTGGAGCATTCCTGGATGCCATAGAATGAGGAACATCAAGTGACGACAGGTGATGGAAATTGTTGACATTCCATGACAAAAATAGAGGATCTGCAGCTGGACTTTATGGAGTTACCAAGGGATGTTGGAAGGGGATAGTGGGAAGTTCCATTTCCGCCATGTAGTCCAAAAACCCGATACCGGGAATTGACAACTCTTTTCCATATTTGTTCGTCTTCGCAGTTTTTCCCTCAACAACTTGGGGTACCCAGGCCCTGATTTGTTGCCTGCCCGGCGTCCCCAACTCATGTAGATGAGGATATAGGTTCTAAATGTTTCAAGGTTAAGTTATGTTGTTCTGTGCATGGGGTCTTATGTCTTTGACGCCATGTTTTGAATTTGAAACTGAACCATTGGTGTACGGGTGTAAATAATGTTATATAAACCATTATAAACCTTGGGATCCTTTATAATCATCCTACACTGCTCCACAAAAATGGCCGCCTCATATGACGATACCACAATACATACAAACCTAGGAAGTCACCAGGTAACCCTGCTAGTGGAAGTAACCGCACCCCTTCGTCCGACACCCGCCGCACCGGCACCTTTGATGGCGGCATGACCGCTCAGAGACCACCGAGCTCGACGTCGCTTCGAAACCAAGGCAGCTGTGAACTTGACACATCCCACACCTGATGAGGGCGCACAAGAAGGAACCACTGGCACTGGCATTCACGAGAATGTCCACAGCGCGGTGGGCAGCAATGTGCCTTCGGCTGACACCACGACACTTCGCAAGAGGGGGAGGAGTATGCGTAGAGTAATGGAGGAGTGGCTTTCTGCACTGTATTACGGATTAAACATGGTTTCGCTTTTACATATTCTACTTGCCGAGTAGCCCAGGTATGACATGTCATCATTTTCTTCAGCTCTGCTCGGCATGATGTTCGATCATGCAACACCAAGTTGTTGAAGCACCGTGCATCTAGTGATATTTACTGTATAGTTGTGTGATCCAAAATTGTGTTGGAATCCTACTAAATCACACATTTGAACCACACCACCGACATGTCCTCGTTTGGGACCCTTTCAAAACCACTCAATGCATCTCAATGCTGTGCGTCAACGGTACCAGAACGCAGACGCTGAAGTCCCCTGATGCGGAAACGCGAAATCCGCGGTCTCGAGGCCCGTTTGCGGACGCGCGCCTCATCGGTGGACACAGGGTTAGAGTCTTGGATGTGCGGGGCGCGGATTTGTTTTAGTTGTTTTGTTATTGATGGCATGGTCAGTGGCATGGTGGCATGGTCCTCGATGTATTTGGATCTGGGGACAGTCTGGTACAGTGAACCAGTGAAGCAGCCCAGCCATGCCCAGCCACAGATTTGATGAACACCTGCCGATGCCCTTCGTTTTGGTCTCCTTTCTTTGCCCCAAAAGTGACCACTACGCCCAATGCGTGTTCAAACCAAAGGAATCCCAAGCACGTTCGGGCGCCAACAAGCCCTGCGACGCCAAAGGACCACCGAAGGTGAGTCAACCGGATTACGACACTTACTTGACCTTTGGCTTGGGGAACCCAACAAAAGAGTACCAGGACATCTGAGGATACTGAAATTGGACATCTGAGGATTACATCCCCTGCTCAGCTGGTTTGCTCTTCGCTGCGGGTTTCCTTTTCATGCTGGGCTTCGCCTCCTTCGAAAGCGTCACAGGCGAGAACCGGTCGCCCAGTCGCCGAACTCGGAGACACTTCGCGTCGATCTCCGGTGGGATCCGACGTCCGTTGCAAGAGGAAGACTGTTTGGTTGAGAAGTGTAGCTGTCAGTGGTTTGGAAGAGCCAGGGGTACTTAGTGAACTGATTTCAATGGCGTAAGTAGTATGCATGAGGCAGCGGGAAGCCTCAGATGTTTTGAAACAGGCAAATAGTTCGGCTGAGGCCTTTTGGTGATTCCTGCTTTCAAAGAAGTCTTGATTCCTCTTTGGTATGTGCATAGTGTTGATTGGGGTCCGAACACTTTCTCTTTGAGAGATGCCTATGCTAAACTTGTGTGTTGGTGCATTCCTGAATTTAGCAGACAAAGCAATTTAGTGCCAAACCAGCTGCAATTGCCGGCAATGCCAGGATACTACTTGATGGACAGGTTGTTCAACCACAACAAAGAAACCAGCGGGCAGTTCTATGGCCTGCTTTTCACAATAGTGCCTAAGCTGCCGACCTCATTGGCAGACAGAATGCCTGAAGATGAGTAAGGGAATATTAATTTGGTCAAGAGAATAGCAGAATAGCTGGCCTGAAAATGAAATTATCCTTGGGTCAATCATGATGCTAATGAACTGCGAAGTCTTGCGTTTTCCAAGAACTGTGTCGCATGAGGTAAAGAGTGCACTTGAACATGATGGGCTCGTCTCAGTATACTAGGACCTCAGAACCAGGCTTTTGGCTGTCGATTTTGTTCTTTTTTCGCTGGGAGTCTTCTTGGGTTGCCTGACACACGCCTGATTTCATCATTCATCATGATGGTGGCCCTTTTGGTTTGGAGAAAGCATGTTCTAGTTGGACAAGGCTCAAAACTTGTTCCATCCAACCCGCACAAAGGAGAACATCGATTCGAACCCACTTGGATCCTTGCGTCTTAATTGGACCTCGTCCAGTTCAGGTGTTTCGGTGTTCATGTGGATTGAGTTTGAAAGGCTGAAGAGCTTTGCCGATGTTTCAAGATGTTTCAAGCAACATTTGGTGGAGCAGGACGGGAGATACATAGAATCTAAGCCTGGTCCCTTCCTGGTCCCTTTTAAGTTTCTTTTCTCACTGTGAGCGCCCAGCAAACCGATTGGTATCTATTTGTACCCAGCAAACCTACTAGTACTGCTAGGTGGAGCTTTGTTGTCAGTATAAGTGTAATAGCGGGTACAGTGCCCAGAACGGCGGTCTTTGTAGAAGTAAGTTCCTCTGCTTGTCAAATTGAGGCCGGGATAGCCATGCTCCTCACCGCGCTCTTTGCACCTTGCAAAGATGGTGTTTACGATTTTTGCCGTTGAGCCTTAAGGGGGTCATTGGTTGTGTGAAGAGATTTAGAGGTTTGACGATGGTGAAGAGGGTGACAAGTGAATGACAAGCAATTAGAAGTGTGAAGCGAACCATGAATCAAGCATGTGTCCTTCGTCCTTCGGTGGTTCCATCGATCCATTTGGAACTCCCAAGGCATGGGTTTGGTCGTCGGGGTTTTCAACTCCTCACAGGTGGGCCCATCACCTCCGCGCCCCGAAGCCCCGACCTGAAGCGTCTTCCGCGCCCAGATCTACAAGCCCCTGCTGGGCTGCATCGGCGAGTTCCCCACCGTGGCCCTGGGGGGCGTCTTCCGTCGCTCGGGAGTGGAGGGTCCGCCCCGAGGGGTCGAAGTGACTTGATGTCAAGGCTTAACGTCAAAGTCTCAAGAGTTGGAAAACACCCTGAGGCCTGAGGGTGTGGACCGCAAGGGGGGGGAGATTTGGTCTCTAGATGGCATGGTTTTCTTGGTGCTGGTCGTGCTGTCGCCCCCAGCTGATTCGGGGTTTTGGTCTGCTGGATCGATTGAGGGCTTCCCCGTTGGTGTAGACGTCTCGTGATCCTCAGACTTGGTGAAAACTACTACGTTAGCTGCTGCTTTGCAACTCACGCTGCGCAACTGGGATCTTGCGCTGCGCAACGGAGTTTTGCGGCAACTCATAACCAATAATTATGAGATAATATGTGAATGGGTTTGTTTGTGGACCCGGTTGCCTGTAGATGCTTTTGATTCTTCTGTCTAATTGCATGGGATAGTTGGCGTTCAGGGGTTCAAGGGTTCGAAACATGCCCTATAGGAAACACACAGGGTACGATTGCATTTTTGGCCGGCACCACAATGCTTTTGACAGCTGGCCAAGCATGCATTCGTACCTTGTGTGTTTCCCGCACATGTTCCAACTTGGCCCAGGGAAAATGCATCCGGCAACATCTTCCTGTTTAAACATCTTAGGCAGCTGGCACCTTGCTGCATGATGTTTTTTCCCGAATGCGTAGCGAAGGGTTCTCGTTTAACTCTGGGGGTCTGGGGGTAGAGCCTTGTTCGCGACCCGTTGTTTCTATGTTCGCAACCGTTCGCAGGTGTCCGCAGTAGAGCGCTAAGGCGCTGCCATTGGGGGAAGCTTTTGCAAGTGACTTTTCATGGATGTGTCACGTGTCAGTTTGCAACGCTATTCCATTGTGGTTTGCTTGAAAATGACATGTCGCGCAAGAAGCGTGATGCATTTCGCTGCACGCAGTGGTTTGAGAGATCCGCAGTTTACTGCGCAGTTCCATTGGGATTAGCGTTTGGAGAGTCGTGTTTTTGGGGTGTTGGATGTGGCCGTGCCATTGGGATTTGCGTTTCAGGGTGTGGCATCGAAGCTCTGTTTTCGTGACAAGTCTCAGCTGAAATGGCGATTTTGGTGGATGGGAGTGTGCTCAGAACGGGTCGAAATCATTCTAAACGTGTGGTGTGGTGCAAATTTTGTTGAAGCTCACGTGAGATGATATTGTCACTTTTCGTGGCAGGCACAGTACTTTGTGCTGATTTTGACGTGTGGAAGTGCGATTTTCGTGGCAGGCGCAGGAAAACGTGAGGTTGCGAGGTGTGACGGAGGTGACATTTCGTGGCAGGCGCAGTACTTTGTGCGCGTTAGACGTGTGGATGCGGAAAGGTTCGTGGCAGGCGCAGGGAATCGTGAGGTCGTGAGTTGTGGTAGAGGTGAATGTCGCTGTCACATTGGGATTGGCGTGTGAGCGGGTATTGCTTGGAGGGGCTGGACTTGCGAAACTGCTTGGGAGGGCTGCGTGATGTGTGTGCTCCGATGGGTGTTTCCGCTTGACTTTTGGAGGAAGTCTCGTACGAAATCCTCGTTTTGCCGACTTTGACATGTGAGTTTTGGAGGAAGTCTCATACGAAACGCTCGTTTTGGAGACTTGACACGTGACTTGTGGAGGAAAAGTCTCGTACGAAACGCTCGTTTTGGAGACTTGACGTGTGACTTTTGGAGGAAGTCTCGTACGAAGCGCTCGTTTTGGAGACTTGACGCGTGACTTTTGGAGGAAGTCTCGTACGAAACGCTCGTCTTGTGCAGCCTCGAAGCGTGACTTCTGGAGGACGTCTCGTACGAAACGCTCGCAGGACTGCTTCTAGTGTGCCACAAGAGTGTCCTACAAGAGTGTCCTACAAGAGTGTCCCACAAGAGTGTCCCACAAGAGTGGTCCTACAAGAGTGTCCCAGAAGAGTGTCCCACAAGAGTGTCCTATAAGAGTGTCCCACAAGAGTGTCCTACAAGAGTGTCCCATAAGAGTTTCCTACAAGAGTGTCCCACAAGAGTGTCCCACAAGAGTGTCCCACAAGAGTGTCCTACAAGAGTGTCCCACAAGAGTGTCCCACAAGAGTGTCCCACAAGAGCGTCCCACAAGAGTGTCCAAGAGTGTCCCACAAGAGTGTCCCACAAGAGTGTCCTATAAGAGTGTCCCACAAGAGTGTCCCACAAGAGTTTCCTACAAGAGTGTCATACCAGAGTGTCCCACAAGAGTGTCCCACAAAATTGTCCCACAAGAGTGTCCTACAAGAATGTCCTACAAGAGTGTCCCACAAGAGTGTCCCACAAGAATGCCCCACAAGAGTGTCCTGCAAGAGTGTCTCACAAGAGTGTCCCACAAGAATGTCCGACAAGGGTGTCTCATAAGAGTGACCCACAAGAGTGTCCTATAAGAGTGTCCCACAAGAATGTCCGACAAGAGTGTCCCATAAGAGTGACCCACAAGAGTGTCCTATGAGAGTGTCCCACAAGGAGTGTCCTACAAGAGTGTCGTGTAAGAGTGACCCACAAGAGTGTCCCAGAAGAGTGTCCTACAAGAGTGTCTACAAGAGTGTCCCGCAAGAGAGTCCCACAAGAGTGTCCTGCAAGTGACCCACAAGAGTGTCCTACAAGAGTGTCCCACAAGAGTGTCCCACAAGAGTGTCCCAGAAGAGTGTCCTACAAGAGTGTCACACAAGAGTGTCCCACAAGAGTGTCCTACAAGAGTATCCCACAAGAGTGTCCCACGAGAGTGTCCTACAAGAGTGTCCCACAAGAGTGTCCCACAAGAGTGTCCCACAAGAGTTTCCTACAAGAGTGTCCCACAAGGAGTGTCCTACAAGAGTGTCGTGTAAGAGTGACCCACAAGAGTGTCCTACAAGAGTGTCTCACAAGAGAGTGTCCCATAAGAGTGTCCTACAAGAGTGTCCCACGAGAGTGTCCTACAAGAGTGTCCCACCAGAGTGTCCTACAAGAGTGTCCCACAGGAGTGTCCCACAAGAGTGTCCTGTAAGAGTGTTCCACAAGAGTGTCCTACAAGAGTGACCCACAAGAGTATCCTACAAGAGTGTCCCACAAGAGTGTCCTACAAGAGTGTCATTTGGACATATGTATATAGCTTTTCGAACCTGTTTGCATTCGGGTTCGTGGGCTCCATCTTGTTTTTTCCCAGAACTGATATGATATATGTATGGACGAGAAAAACCCACTGCGTTGCGAACATGCGTTCTGCAACACCGTTCCTCGTTGGGCGTTGCAGGGCGAGGCTCCTAAAGCCATGGTTGGTTACCGATTAAGGCCCCAGCGACAAAGTGAGCCTAATCAAAAGCTAAAGTCTATAATTAGACACCTTAGGAAACCATTGGACCCAGATCTTTGTAAACTTACAGCGAATTGAGTCACATGCTATAATGCCTTGCCCCAATGACATCATGGCCAAAGAAATTCGATCGTTTCGCACGTGTTTGTTCATTATATTGTGGGGGTATACATGAGGTATAGGTTGACTAGGTTCACACGTCGCTCAGTAAACTCGCAGTCGCAAAGTAGCTGCAGCAAGCCATGCAGGATCCTACACGATTCAGGTCAGAACACGCTTCACCTTGAGACCTGCTGTTTTGACACGCTGAGACATGCCGAGAACCATCGTCGCATATCACCAAACATTCACTGTAACACTCTGTATGACAATGTTTGCTTGACTATGTCACCATGTCACCATATCATGATGTATTGCATGGGATTTCGCTATATTATAGTTGGATTGATTCCCTCATAACTCATGCCAACCCAACCAAAAAACGCAACAACAGTTGTCCCAGGTTGCGCGGGCTTCTTGGGGATGTCCTTCGCCACCAGTCCGGTGCTGTTTCTTGGCTTCAACAGATGGGTTTCTTGAGATGAATGGACACCTGGGAGAACAAACCATGGGATTTCATCCTGTTGTATGGTATGGACCAGTGTGCATCCAAGCAGGAATGACAGACCTGTGGGGAGGTCCGCCACTTCAGCAGGCCCAAGCTTCACACTTTTTTGTACAGATTTTTGAGTGGACATGGCAAAGAAGCGTCCTGCTGCTTCCTCGGAACAAGAAAATGCCCGCCTGCGCCGGGAAAATGCCAAGCTCAAGAAGGACAATAAGGCGCTGCGGGGGGAAGACTCCAAGAAGAAGCCCCCGGTCGGACCGAAAGGTTATGCCTACGTGATGCCTACGTGACCGCCGTGGTGGGAGGCAAAGAGTATTCGGTCAGTTATGAGATGGAGGACTTCGAGAAGAACTCGGCAGATGGCCTTTGTTGCACTGTCACTGAAACCATGCGTGACGGCAAGGACATCGAGTTGTTCTTGAAAGGTGGAAAGAAAGTGAATCTCAAGAAAAACTTTAAGCAAAATGGGATCACGCCGAATAGTTATGTGTATGGAAGATACACAGGCAAGACTTTCTGGGATGCCGACTACTGATGGGCTGAAGAAAAGGCTAAGACCTGGGTCCTCAGCTCATTTCAGGGCACGTGCAGCTTGCCTTTGGCTGGCTTTTCAGCTTGTTGGAGCGACTCTGATGCGAGAAAAAGGGCTGCAAGGCCAAGAGGAGATACAATGGCGTGTGTTCACGTCCCATGGTGTGTGGTCACTCATCAAGACAGCTGTTTGCGGGGGTTTGAAGTTGGTGAAGCAAGGAGTCTCAGTTTTTGCCCACAAAGTGGAGCTCTGAAAGAACAGCCACAGGAACTTGCCTTTTTTGACCACGTCAGTTTCTTCCTCAAGACCCTGCTAACCCCTGCCTGACCAAACCGCTTTTCTGCGTTGTTGCTGTTTTTTTCACTGGCTCTGTGAGGTTCGCTTGTGCAGCGATCGTGCAAGTGGTAGGAGGAAATCTCATCTCTCCGACCACATCCTCCCTTTTGACCACGATTTGCTCGAAGAAGATCTATGGCAAGGCTCTAGGCCGGTAGCCCGCACGAGCCGGGCCGGGGGGCCAGGGGGATGAGGATCTATCATACTCTATCATTTTTCTATACAAGTCTTTAAACAGGTTTAAACATGTTTGGAGTTTGTATTCTTTGATTAACACATGTATCATCGAAGCTTGCATGGTAGTTTTATCAAAGAAAAGACGGGATAGACTCTCGGATAGACAAGACTACAACCCACTTCACCACTTTCCAGGGAAAGTATAGGCTTTGAGGGATGTGTGCTGTGCGTGGTATTGCGTATATAAAATTTCTATGTATTTCTGTCTACCCCAGTTTTCGACTCTTTGGCTGTTGGCTGTTGGATCCGCCTTTTTCTATCGGATCCCACCATATAGCTCACCACAGCTCACCAGCCATCCGTGCTGAATTGATTTCTCCAAAAAAACAAACGCCCTGGAGAGGTCAGCCCTTCAGGCTTCGTTCGTCGAAACCACCCTCGCCCCAGAAATGTCCCCGTCCCGTGCGCAGGCTACCAACAGTCCTTTCAGTCGGTGGCCCGGATCTTCGCCCCCACCATCTTCGGGTCTCGTGGCGTCGTGGGACGTTTGTCTCGTGGCGTCGTGGTGTTCACGACCGGAAGGATCTGGACAAATACGCTTCTGCTGATAGGCTTTTCGAGGAGACCTTTTGACGGTTCTACTATACTATTCATAAACAATATATTACATTATAGTGTTTATTGTGTTAATCGTTCCAGTCAACAACATCTTCGATTAGAACTGAAGCTATAGCAAGTTTCTCCGGCCCTGGCTGACACAATCAGCAAACAAAACCCCAACTATATACGGTACACCAAGCACAAAGTTTTGGCCATGACTCGTCTATAGGCTTTTCAATGCAAATTTTATAATAGCCATTGGAAGGCCATATGACCGATGGCCATTTGGTGAGTTCCAAGGGAGAGGTGGAAGAAAAGAACAACAGACAGCACCCTCAGAATCCCTCAGATATATTTCCATGTCAATTGCTTTTGCACTTTGGAACACATGGTGCGGTTGCTTTTGTCTTCGCTGCGCTCTTTTTCACTCACCCTACTATGACCATGCCCTCTTTGAAGGAAACACATGGCAACTGGTGAGTTGGACAATTCCAGCCCTTCTACCAGTTGGATTGATGTTTGCAGACACGTGATCGGAACATGGACGTTTGCGGGTCCCTTGGTGGCGGGGAAGATGGTCCACATGCCAAGACAGACCATGACCAGCAACGAAACACCAGCCAATGAACTTACTACAATGCTGCATGCAACTTACTTAGAATATGTTGGAGTGATTCAAGGACAAGGTCGGACAAGGTGTTTGTTGATTTCTTGTCTTCAGACGTTTACTTGTCTTGGTCGTTTGTGAGATCTTTCGTCTGCTTCAGACGCCCCCGTGGCATCGAAGTTTCGACTGAACGCCGAAGGTATTTGTACGACCATTACGATCAGCGCCTCACCTTTTGGATCAATGCCGCCACCACAGCGACTCGGCTGCGCAGGTTTTGGGTGAACACTCGGCTGCTTCCACGGAAGAGTGGATCACCAAAGCACGGGACATGAGGATTCAGAAAGGACTCGGCTCATAGGAATTTGGGACCCGGCCACTTGACCGTAAGAGCTTGGGCGAGGCTGTTCGCTCAGGTCTCGGGTATCCATTGGCATTCATGTTTAAAGTCAATGTCATCAACCAGATCCATGGAATGAAGGAGAGTAGTTTCCGAATGAGCGGCTGGACGCTAAGAGTTGAAAACCAGCCGGTCAGGATGAATCATTTGTCAATCAGGTTTGAACATGTTTGAACATGCTTTTGTGACCTCTTCGGGGGAACAGGGCGAGTCAACGGGCACGGAACGATTGCATCCATTTGGATTGTGTAGCACGGCTGGGAAAGGAATGCACAGATAGCGCAGATAGACTAGTGGCTGGTAGGATGGTAAGGGTGTGAACCATAATTTGAGCTGGATTGTTAGTCACTCTACGATTTTACAACGACGAGTAGCAGCGAACAAGCTTATACACTGCTGTTCACTGCATACATGGATTGTTCCATTGTTAAGTGACAGTGGCTGTCAATGTGTTTGGACAATTGAGTGAAGCATAGTTTGCCATGCCATATCGCCTACCACTATTATCAACTCAAACGAGACAGACCATCAATTACAAGTTGCACCCTGGTAGAACATACGCGAAGATAACACAAAAAGCAGCAAAACCTTAAACCAGTCCAGACAGTTTCCCTCAACTCCAAGAGGAGATGTCGATGCCCTTCCAGCCTTCCGCCCACCGGACCACGGTGGACCGGACGTCCAGGTCATCGCGGTGCCGCTCATCTTGGCGGTGCCAAGGCCTGCGAGCCCCATGAATGCCCAGGAGCGGTCGAAGGGACGCCAACGGTCGAAGAAGAGGACCTGCTATGGTACGTCCATTCTGAAGGGCTTTTGAGTTGAGAGGAACCTTCAAAGAAGTGTAGCACCCGAATTCATGGATGTCTTGGAGTTCCTGGTTGTTGTGTTGCTTGGGGGGTCAGGGTTGATGCTCTATTTGGGTCCAAATGAGCCTTAAAGCATCCATCCGCTGCCAGGAAGTGGAGCAGAATTGTGATAGCCACCCGGCCGAAATCCTCTCGCGGTTAGGCGGTGGATCAGCGGTGAGGGGAGGGAGACATGGATCACAGGATTCCTGAACCTACTAGCGATGGCTTCCAACCTGCTAGCGATGGCCTCCAACTGTAGCATGAGACTGACGATACTGGTTGGTGTGGAAAAAAACACACAAACTAAGAAGCCTAGTAAATTTGATCCTGGTAACTACCCTCCCTCCAACAAGCATGGAAGCTGATCAGGACCCCCTCATGAGGAATTGTTTCAGGGAGTGTGTATATATATATATTATATATTTTTACAAATTATACAAGAAATCTTGGCAAGCAAAGAAATCAAAGAAAACTTAGGAAGATGTTCATCGTTTTGCGAAGAGCACTTTTTAGTTGTTTACTTTCTTCTTCCGGATGCTTTTGGCCGACCAACCGCGACGAATGCATGGTGTGAACCGCGCGGTTCGAACCGCCAGCGTCTCAAAAAGCGGGCGTCTTTCACAACCGTTGGCGCACAGACTCTCTGAGAAAACACAGGGATTCTCACAGCCTTACATTCAACCGTCCAGATTGCCCAACGCCTAGATCCACAGAAAGTGTACTTTCGTGGACCTAGCTAGCAGCTAGCTCTTCACTTGGCTACTGTCTACGAGTCTACGCAAACTCTTGAACGGCGCTAACTCTTGAATTTTGTCTATGCTAAGTATTAAATATAGCCTGCGCTAACTATGGCCTGAAGTATTTAATACCTGTCCGTAGCTACGCCTGTTTCTAACTACACTTCCTTTGATAAGATATAGTTCTTCACTATTGTCTCAAGTTGCTAGGCGTGGTGTGCAGCGTGTGCATGGTTTCCTCCGGGCGACAGGTATGAAACACAGGTCTGATGGTCGGAGGAGGGACGAACCCTTGCCCGATGGTGGTCCCGATGGTCGTTGGTGCCCTCACGATGCACGCAGCATTTTGCAACTGATAGTGTCCGCGGAGAGAATCCCTTTTCTCCGAAGACCTGGTCAGTATCCTTGGGCCATGAGACAGATCTCCCTCCTAGTATGGATATGCGTCAAAGCGACAAAACCATGGAAGTAGTGCGAATTTCCTAACTTATTACTTGACATTGACTATAAAATATTATCATACTATATCATATAATATATATATAATATATATAATATATATAATTTAGTTTTCAGGGTCACGCGTGTTTTTTTTGTGGTTAGGTAATGTATGTTGAAAAGGTTCTTGAAAACTCCCAATGCTCGCTGAACATCACTAATCACAATAGTAGAACAACAGCGAGAACATCCCACACACACACACACACTTGGAGGCCAACGCTAGTAGGTTGGAGGCCATTGCACACACACCTGCGCCGCCTGCGAAGTCCCTTCTGCCAAGGCTTGGAACGGCAGAAGTCCGTTCCACCCACCTTACCCTCTCTGGAGGGCACCGAGCACCATCCCACCCTGCGGCGGCAGCTCTCCAGAAGCTCCTTGGGCTGACTGGTCGGAAGGAACATGTTGTCAAGAAGATTTAAACATGGCAATAGATTTGCGCCATGGTCTGTTTGATTCTTAAGCCGTCGAAGTGCGACGTTGGTTTGAGGATTTCTTTGGAAAGCCCCGGGTCAGTCTCTCTCAGGCATTTATGATTTCGAGATTTACAGAGATCCTTTGCTCCCAAACTTGTGTGAATACAGTGGTAGTTTCACTTCACCCAAGACGCATCAACCCAAAAACAACCATGATATGTCAGACAGCAGTCTGATTCTTCACCAGTGTAAATGGGCTCAAAGATGTTCGAAGACAGAGTATATAGACATAAAGACATGTTTGATAAAAGGATGGCAGCAGAGCCAGGAACATCGTTCACCAGTGCCGGGGCTGTCGGACCCGTTTTGGCGAACCACATCGCCACGGCCGGACGAGGTGCTACCGAGTCACATCAAAGTCAGAGCCTGCAGCCGGTGGTTGAGGATGCTTAGGCGAGCGGAGGCCGAAGCCTAGGTCCAGCAGGTCTCAAAAAGGGACATTCTGCTGAAGCTCGATGTGTAAAGTGGAGGGCACCCAGCCCAGGAGAACTCATTGAAGACTTGTATTTGAGGTCGATCTTCGAAGAACCGCAGTTGGTGCAATGCTACGGTGATCATGTTATGAACATCCTCAGTTGACCATGGAAATTCACTGGATTCACCTGGTGAAAGCTCAGCGGCGCAGAAGCGCGGCGGCGGTGATACTTTTGGCTCGCTCAGAACTCAGGCGACCAACAGTCGGAACCAACGACTGGCGTGCTCCGACGGTCACAGGACATGTCGTCAGATCTGAGAATGAGTGTCGGTCGCCCATGTTGACTTCACCTACTATCCGTCAGTAACCCTCTTGACTTCACGATCCATATTTGACAATTCAATCATGTTTAACAATATTGAGTTTGTACGAATGGATGAAGAGTTACCCGAACTCCCCAAAGACGCTTGAGTCCCAATTGTACGGAGGTCACAAAACACTGTTTTCAACATGTATGTTCACCGGAGTAGTTCACCTGAGTTCCCCTGCCGTGGAAAGTGCTTTCCCCACTGAATGCCTCGTCCAAGTCGTCCAAGACCAGTAGACCATGCCAGAACAACCGGAGCCGATTCAGAAGCCGTGCTGTCGGGCCGATCGTGCGGTAAAAAAGGGGCCCTGTGGCTGCTGCGCGGTGGGATGATGATCTTGGAGGAGGATTCAGGGCAGAGAGGGACGACGATGAGAAGTACTTCTGGAAGAATCATCAAAAGGACATCCTTAAAGGAACATGTGTTTGATCATGCCACTCCAAGTCCCTGGCTGATCCATACAAAGGAACAGAATCAATCAGACGCCTTAAGGGTCTAGGCTTTTGAAGGATCGAGCATGGATCAGTGACTTGGGGGTGGATTTTTTTGGGGGATCGCTTGATGTTTGAGAGAGTGTCGAGTTGCTTTGGCCTCCAGAAATGTTTTTGAACCATTGTATGGCAGCAAGAGTCCTTTTTGGAGGATGGACCTGAAAAGGGTCCGAGATCCGGCACGATGGTTCTGATGCTTGGGGTGTCATTTTTGGGACACACAGGGAACCAAAAATAAACAATGCGTTTGACCGATTGAGCGGCATTGAACAACAGGCGCCGCTTGAATCTTGACGATCTTTGTTTGTGCGCATTGAAAGGGCATCCCTCTATGGACACTCATGAATCTGGCTTGGCCACAAATTGGACGGAACTCTACTGTATCATATTGTATCTACTTTCCCGCTCTTTAGGGCTGGCAGCCCCACTTCATGCGTCACGCGCATGGTCACACAGTTGCCCACTTCATCGTCCTGCTTTCCCCTCAAAAAGCACATGCATCACGCTCTTGCTCCGGCCAAGGTGGAGTATGAGCTGGCGCGGAAAGAGCCGGGGCTTGAGGCGCACTCCCGAAGCATGTGTGAGGGCTTTTTCTCCGGAAGTCCTTCTGACACTTCGACAGTATCCTGTGTGGTATAAGGTCCGAGTACGATAACCACCTGGAGTAGAGAATCCGTGTATTCTATATGTACATTTAATACTCAGCATATACTACTCATATATACTGTACATGTTGCCAGTCATGGGCTGGGGCTTTGAAGAGCGTTGAATAGCAACTGGAAAGTGGCGTTTGCCTCCAAGGAGATTTGGTTGGTGTTTCCACGGCACAGCTTGGACAACGCTGATTGGAGTACCCGGACATGGGGGCTAAAGCTGTTGATCTTGGAAGTCCGAAGCAGACTAGAAATGGTGACAAGTGAGATCAAATGGCATCAATGAGAGATGCTCTTTGGTGGAAACCAGTGGTTTTCACTTCTTCTTGACTCTTAGAGCAAGTGACTTGAGCAAGTAACGAAGCTCTTCCTTCGTCAGGACTCCCCACTGGTCGTGACCCGTGAAGTTCTCCTCGTCCCAAGGTAGAAGTGAAGGACAGCAGGCCGCCTTTGTCACAAAGAGCCCTTTGTCGCACAGAGACGAAACGAAACAGTCCACCAAGCAAAGTAAGGAGAGGAATTCAGTTTGATGCAACTTTTTGTCATCACTCTTTCTCTCAAACACATGATGACCTCCCAAAATTCTCAGCCAACCAAACATTTGCGTCGAATTCAGGGCAAAACGATCGGGGTATGCAATAAGTAGAAGTATGTGGATTGCCGTTCGCATAGAAGGAGTGTGAATACCGGGCTTGTTTGGGTACCCCCTGGGTTTTTCCCTTTAGGAATGCTTCGCTCGTGGACCCGAGCACAGCCCCACTGTTGTGTTTTGGCAGACTTCTGCACAGCCCGCAATGAGTGAGCCTCCTGAGCCGTTGTAGCAGTTGCAAGAACAAAGACACATCTCCGGGCCACAGCGATAAAGGCACAGTGAGTGATGTAGAGTCTTGATCAGTAAACAAACACGTATGACAATCCAAATGGGGAGCTTCATTAATCAAGAGACTACATTAGGTTGCTCCTTCTAAGCGACTGAGGATGATCCTCCTGAACCTCTACCTGAGGATGGGAAGTGGCGGTGGTCGGGGTCTTGGAAAACGCTGCGCTGTCTCCAGGACTTGGAATAAACGCAAAGATCAATATACAAGCAGTATGGAATCTCTGCTCACGGTTTGCTTCTCTGAGTATATGGAACACCATTGCCTGTCACAAACAGTAGGAGGGTCCACAGCCCCAAGTGGCGCTTATGACAGTACTCGGGACCAGCGTTGATGTTGGCTCTTGGGTGGAAGTGCCGGCACCGAAGTGCCTCGTGCGCACGAGGCTCCTGCGGAGTGATGGAGAAATTGTGGGGCCTTGAGACTTAGAATGGGAGAATGTCGATGACTTCGGAAAGCTTTGGTCAGCTCATGTCAGGTCGAGTGAGTCAATGACTGCTGGTCCTGGCTAGCTCACGGGATCACATTTTTTCCCTTAAAGTGTAACCTACCTGGACTATATGCAAGATTACAAGATCGCACTTCTCTTGTTGGTAGACTGACATTCTTGATCATCTCTTGATCATAGCACGCACATGATCAATGGTTTTGCCCATATAAAGACTCATACAGCATGGGATACTGGAGATGGTCTGCACACGGATGGTCTGGAGAAGCGGTTTAGGTGTCCGTGCCGAGTCCCGAGAAGCGGTTGCACCAAGGCCCAAAGGCGATCGTGGATAATACCATCCGTCAATTGAAAGGTATTTTGGAGTATGTATATAGATATTTATAAACTTTGATATGAATGAACTATGTATATAAATAGATTCAATATGATTCTAGTATATAATGGTCTGTTGCTATGATGTTTGAGTATGATATTATGAAAGATTGTGAACATTTATAGTATAGGTTGTTAACTACATGCATTTTGGAACCAACATATGCTTCCAGGTATGCTGCATTTCATGTAAAGCTTTATTCATAAGGTCAGAGAGGTCAGGGGGTGCTTATTTTTCTCTCGTTTGCCTTTGAGGGGACTAGGGAGATGAGCGCCACTGTGGTGTGTTGTTTCTCCAAAGGCGCACGACAAATGACTGGAGTGTCAACTAGAACCACTATTGATTGTCTTGGTCAAACCATGAGATCGGAAAGCAGACCCGGTGTGAATTGAGATTACTGTAGATGGCCTCATACTACCACAAGACTAGCTGGGTTTGCTGTAAATTGCAGATTGTTAGATCTGTATGAGCAATATGCGTGAAGTGTGCAAGACCTGGTGCCAACATGTGAGTGGCTTTTGTTCAAAGTACCCGCTCCACGCCATCATTGCAACAGGATCCTTCAATAAACTGCAACAATCCCAATAAATCATGCATTTGTCTAAACAAAACCTGGGATTTTTCCCTGCAGCAGTTCATCTCTATTGCGAAAGCCAGCCGATAGGATAGGCTGAAGTTAGTTTATGCGAACAAAATGAGTTTTTATGGGGTGTGTGGGAGGGGGCAGGGTAAACTGGACCTAAATCACTTAAAAGAGGTGATTTCTTGTGGGTTGGTGATGCAGAAGATGCAATATGACACATGTGTGTATTAGATTTTAGTACGTTTTGTGTCATTTGCCGAGCGCCCGCGGTAAAATCACATGCTGATTCCTCCTGGCTTTCGTCCCTCTTCTCAGGCTTGACTGTGGCGGAACGGTTTGTCAGGGACTCTTGCCTAATCATTATATACATTCTTCATTGTGCTCTCATGGATGGCTTCCAACACACATTTCCTACTTTTGGTCAATTGGTCCACCCGCTCCATGAATTATTGACCACATCCGTCCTATGGTTTTCCACTTTTGGGCTGGTGTCCCTTTTGGAGCGCATGGGCCTGCCTTGCTCTCGAGCTCGCTACCCGGTAAAGAATAAGGGTGTCCACTTCACCGTTGCCCTCTACACTGAGTCAACCGCTGGCTGGTGTCCCATGTTGTCCCGCTTCTTTCCCACTATTTTCCCTACCTTTTCCCAGTTCCTTCCCAACATCATCCCACAGTTTTCCAACTTTCTGGAATAGCATGGAATAGCCCTTGGAGCTAAAACCACAATTATTGCTGTAATCATTTGTAAAAGCTCAAATCAAACCAAGGTCACTGATACCCAAACATCTCTCATCAAACTCCCAGTGCCATTCCACAGTGATTCAAATGAGAAGACTACAGGTTTTTGGATGTACATACGATACGGATTTCAGTGTTGAAGAAGCCATTTGAAGCACCACATGATGTATTTTGAGGATATATAATATACCCCCTGCAAATAGGATATCAGAGACACCAGAGCCTGCAATAATTTGCGCTCAGAGCTTGATCTGGCTACAAAAGATCAATACCTTTAACCACCAAACATTAAACAGTATCCCGGCAAGAGACCCCAAACAGTGTGTGTGTGTGTGAGGTCTAGAGGTGTAGCTGCAAAATGCCTAGAGATCTAGTAGGCATTGGGGTCCAGAGAGGTGATGGTGAGTGTGAGTGAGATTGAGAGTGAGTGAGAATGAGAGTGAGTGTGAGTGAGAGTGAGAGTCAGAGTAGAGTGAGAGTGAGTGAGTTTGAGCGTGAGTGAGAGTGAGCGTGAGCGTGAGCGTGTGTGAGTGAGAGAGTGAGAGTGAGGGTGAGAGTGAGCATCTGAGAGCACAAAGTGCTGCATCTGCCACAAGAAGATCTGCACTTTGAGGTTCACAAAGTGCTGCGCCTGCCACGAAATCTGCACTTCGAGGCTCACAAAGTGCTGTGCCTGCCACGAAATCTGCACTTTGAGGTTCACAAAGTGCTGTGCCTGCAACGAAATCTGCACATCGAGGTTCACAAAGTGCTGTGCCTGCCGCGAAATCTGCACTTTGAGGATCACAAAGTGCTGCGCCTGCCATGAAATCTGCACTTTGAGGCTTACAAAGTGCTGTGCCTGCCACGAAATCTGCACTTCGAAGTAAAGCCGCTCTGATCCCTTGCGCCTGTCACGAAAAGTCGACTTTGCACCACCAAACCACGAGCCTTCCCTTGCGCCTGCCACGAAAAGTGACCATTCCGAAAATGCGCACGGCACCCCAACGAGAGCGCGGTTGCGACAAGCACCCACCGTGGCCCAGCAGATTTCGCGAGCCTGCACAGTCAAAAAATGCACTTAGAGGATTTCGAGGGGCATGAATGTACTGTAAATAGCAGCGAATTAGCCGGACACGTCGGCGCAACACCTCGATTAGACACAGGTGCTTAACCATTACCGTCAGAACCCCGGCGCACTGTTCGGGGAAAGAAACACACAAGGAAACGCCAGGGGTTCTTGGCAATTTCGTAGTGATCAAAAAGGCTCATGTATAATTTACCGGGTTGCACGACGGCGGCTCCTCCATTGCATGAAAGCACTCAGCTTGCAAAAATCAGACCAAACTTGTTCGAAAGACACTGTGGACGAAAGCCGTTACGAAAACTGTTCAGTGCGAGGTTATCTAGTCCATGCTGTGACTCCAAACAGGGCGTCCAATGAATTCAGGGAATGGGGAGCCCAACGTGAATGCTGGTTGTATTCATATTGCATTCACACCTCAACAGTTGTATGCCAAAAAATGCCATGAGTAAACAATTTGTTTTTTGGAGCTGTCATGAAAACAACTGCCATGTGTCACTGTCTGCACTTTCTTGACCTGCGCCTGGTGCAACAGGTGTAACAGGGCACAATATGGGTGCAGAATTGATTAAGCCCTACACAGCAGACTCTCAAGTTCAACTTTTGGGCATTCAACGATTCCAACGTTTGATGAAGGGGTACTGTAACTCTTGAATGAGCTGCAACTTGCAAAATTTGACAAAACAAGTCTGTGGCGAAAATTTATGGGAATGCGGGTGGAAATTTGCAGAAACATGGCAGGCGCGTGCGGACTGGAGATTTGCAGTTTATTGAACACCTGACAAACACTTGCTTGACCAGGCTGTATTTTTGAAGCCCAATCCTTTGCAGAAACCTGAGAAAGTTTTATCCCAGTGAATTTGAAGACACCCCATCATAACATTTATGTAATGTGTTCGTAAATATCGCATTTTTGTTCCAGCATGGCACGTTTTCTTGCGTTTTGACATCTATGTGTGTTTGTTGTTTTCTTGAGGCATCTCCTCTCCTCTCCTCTCCTCTCCTCGCCTCGAGAGAGGAGAGAGGAGAGAGGAGAGAGGAGAGAGGAGAGAGGAGAGAGGAGAGGAGAGGAGAGAGAGGGGAGGAGAGAGGAGGGAGAGAGGAGAGAGGAGAGAGGAGAGAGGAGAGAGGAGAGGAGAGAGGAGAACGAGGGACTCTTTTATTGACAGTGCATTCATGCCTCTCAGAAGAGGAATGAGAAGAATTGAAGTTAAAACGCTGAAAAAGCGATAGGTTTTGAGGCAGAGGAGGAGAAGAAAAAGGAAGAAGAAAGG